ATTTTTTCTTTTTGAAATTTATGAAATTTTACCTTTTGGCCAAGCAATTTGCTCCATTTACATTCTTTATTAGCCAAACGGCGAGTTAGCGGCGCTAAAAAGTTTTTTCTTTGCATTTTCAGTTTTTTTTTCTTTGTTTTGTTGCCTTTGTTGGACAAGGAATTTCTTCATCGTATGCAAGCTATATAAAATCGGCATACAAAAGATTAAACCCAACAACAGGCGGTTGGGGGCGGGCGTTACAAAGTTTTCTTTCTATGAAAGGTAATGAAAGGGGGGGGAGGGGTGGCTGTTGGTTAAAGGCCAATATTTAACTCTGAGTCATGGCCAAAGTCGAACTGAAAATACAAACTTTGTCAATTTGTTTGGTAGCATACGAATAAAATTTAACAAAGCTGAATTCAAGATGATCAAAGAAGTTGATGTGGATGGAGCTTAGAGATTTTGACAGAAAATTAAAATTAGCTTGGGATTAAAGACATGCAAACTTAAGCTGAATTTCCTTTTAATATTGCAAATTGTACATGAATATTAATTAACAAATCAAAGGATTTGTTTATGAACAAAAAGTGAATTCAAAGTTCATGCGTAAAGTGAACTTCATATGAGATTTGTTTTTCAATTAATTTGGCAGAACATGAGCTTTTATTTTCCCTGACTGTGTACTTGTCTGTACACTCTACACTAAAGGAATTAAAAAAGGATGCATAGAATACGTTTAAATAGATCAGACTAACACGACTTGCAGTTGAGGTTAGCTTCAGATTTCCAATCGGCATGATTCGTTGTTAAGTTCCCTAAAAAACTGCATCCCTTTAAGAATTTATCCACCAAGAGCAGAACATATTTAGGAAAATATTTAAATAGAAGATTTACCAATTTAACTTATGCCGTTCAATTGCGAAACATTATTTATTTTATTATTTAATTTTCAAAATGTGGATAAAGCATTTAGTTTTTGTAAATGTGTGCAATTTCAGCCCTAACACAAACTGATTGCAGTTGTGTCTCTTCAAGCATACTATTGCGTATTATTTATTATGGCCAACACCAACAGAAGCACCCAAGTTGGCAGCCTCCACTCGGCAGCACCTCTGTCCCCGCCTCTGCCGCCGCCTACGCCACCCCCATACTATTCGTCATCCACATGGGGAATTTAATAAATTCATCATCTTTCATTTAGTTGCTGCAGCCAAGTCTGTTACATGGCTGTCCCTTAAATAAAAGGGAAAAAATGAAGTAAAATGAAAGGAAAAGAGAAGGAAAAATTATATAAATGTGTGTCGTAGTAGAAAGAAGGGAAATCACCAGGAAAGAAATAAAGCGAAGAAAAATTTTCGCAGACAACGTGCACTGAAGATGAGCGCAGTCGACGCTGTCGATGGAGGCGTGGCAGCGACCTCGACGTCAACGGCGACGTGGACGCCGGCGTCATCGTCGGCATTGGAGTTGCCCAAAAAAGCAAAAGCAAAATCGTGACTGTCATTTCAACGAAGCGAAGTTATTTTTCATGACAAAGCAGCCGAGGAGTCGTCCTCCGACTCATTTTGCCAGACGGCGGTAAAACAGATAATGGGCGACAGGGATCGGAACAGTTGTACGGGCCCAAAAACGGATAGGCGGACGGGGTAGAGTGATAGGTGTACGGGCTACATGATGTTCCCTGCGCGGGTCTGGGGCCCGGGCACAAGTACAGTGCGGCGCGTTGCGCGCCTGCGAGCATTCCAGCGTTAAAATACCTTTTACTGGCACATTACCAGCAACGCCGCGCGCTGCCCAACCATCGCCAACACCACACCACACAACCACCCGCCCACCCACTTGCCTACCCGCCCACCCAGCAACTAAGCCAAACCGCCGCTGCTGAAGCTCAACAAAATGCAGCTCTGCCAGCGTCGCTGTCGGCGTGGCTGCGTTTTTCATGAAATTATTACGACTTTGGAAATGGGGTCGTACAAAATGTCGTTACGTTCAGAGGCTCCCCCTTCTTGTACCTAACAACACCCCGCCCTCCCCCTTCCCCTTTCGCCTGGTTCCTCCTATTTCGTAGCGTTACCCTTTCACTTGTCCCTTGTTCGCTCAACGTTCCGTCGGCGTTCGCTTTAGTTTATTGTTGAAAATCTTTTGATTGTATCTGCGGAAAATGTTTGGAAATTGGTTAAAGTTGAAGCCGAAATTGAGAGCCATGATGCAAGCTGACTAGCTACCAGTGTGTGTGCTTCTGTGTGAGTGTGTGGGTGTGTGTAGATGTGTGTGGGCGCTTGAGAGTCTTTAAATTCGATACAACATGTTTTGACACAACATACCGCGCCTCACAGAAAGACATAACCTAACTACTGACATATTGGAGATCAATATGAAGTGAGAGAGAGACCGAGATGGCGAAAGAAAAGCGGTGAAAGAGAAAGGGCGAGAGAGTGATAGAGGTAGGAATTGATCGACAGAGAGGAAAGTTGAAAGAGCGAAAGTAATAGAGAATAGAATAGAATACAGCAGTAGAAAAATAGACGGAGAGAGGGGGAGAAGCGAAGTATGAAGGAAGTGAGCAAGGGAGAGAGAAAGCGAGAGAGGAAGAGAATGTTGCAGAAATAGTAATTGAATAGAGAGAGAGAGAGAGAGAGAGAGAGAGAGAGAGAGAGAGAGAGAGAGATAGAGAGAGAGAGAGATAGAGAGAGAGAGAGAGAGAGAGAGAGAGAGAGAAGGCTGCATAAGTAAATACAACGAGAGGGTGAGATACAGAGAAAAAACGTGAAATTAGATCGCCCTCCCTCTTTCAGGGAGAGAGAGAGAGAGAGCGTGTTAGAGAGAGAGAGAGAGAGAGAGTGATGGAGAGAGGGAGATAATGTAGGAGACAGTGAAAGTGTAGTCAAAGGGCAGTTGAATGGGAAGAGATATTCTTGCTCCATCGCCTTAACACTGACCCATAAAAATGTCTCTTCTCATCTCAACTCGTCTACTCACTGAGAAATATTTGTCGCGCGCTCGTAAAGTTCGCATTATAAAAATATATATATAAATAAAAAAGTAAGAGACATTACTTTTATTTTTTATACACCAGGTACTTGCAGACAGAACACATATTTCTTTACTTATTTTTCACTTTTCGTTGTTTTTTTCTTGTTTTCGTTTTTGTTATTGGACTTTCTCGCTAATGAAGTTGCCCGGCATCATCGGCATCATCTTCATTATGGTCATCATCATTCGAGAATGTAATAAGCGTGAAATAATTGACATTTAAGCAAAGCGCACGCACATAGACAATGGAACCAAGACACAAGCCGCTGGACAAGTCTAGATAGCATCTCCTCCCTCCTTGCACCGCCCTGCCTTGTTCCCCCTAAGCTATTCGCTTTGTAGGCCAACTCCAGCGCGCTGTGGAGCCCAAGCGCAACGTTTAAATCGAGAATCATGACAGATGACCGCACGTACTCACTTCTCTCTTACTTTAATGTCCCACGAACGAAACGCAGTCGAAGCTTGGAGCTGTGGCTGGAGCTGGAGCGGGAGCTGGAGTTGGAGAGTTGCGGACGCAGTCTGTGATTCTTGTGGGGCTACGTTTCTGGGTCATGAACCAAAAATGTAAAATAATAAGTTGGCTTTAGAAAAAATGTCGTCGTGCCCGCACATCCCTCTCCTTATACCCCCTTTCGCTTAGCTATTTGCCACTTTTTTTTTTTTGAGGTCTTGTCGATTTGTTTTTGGCACGGTGAAGCACCTGTGCGCGAAAAAGGTAGAGGGGCAGCGGCGGCGGCAACGTGAAACATCTGTCAATGCGACACGTGATGTGTTTGCAAAATTTGTACACATACACACACCGTAAATTGCCGTTTAAAGTGTGTGATAGTTGGGTGCCAAGGTAATCAGATTAGATGCCAAATGATAGAGCGCCCGGCATTTCATAGAAATATTGCAGCAGGTTGAAAAGAACAAGCTGCTGGACCATTGATATTTAAATGCCTTTGCCAAAGTCTACATGTTATAATTATGCTCTATGCATATATTAAGCTGTTTGTCGTGACAGACTAAATGACTGATAAAAGGGAAAAACCTAAGGAGTTTCCTAACGTCGTTTTGTACAGCAATTGGGGAATTTCTTCCATTGCTAAATTTCGGCTATAAACTTAGTTCCAAAGAAATTTGTGATAATTCATTTAAAACATGTTTCGCTCTTGCGTTAACTGCAACACTTGCATGGACTTTGCTTTGATCTACGAAATTTCCAGTTTCAAATTTATTTTTAAAATTCCTTACCAGAAAATATGTAATTTGCAAGAGATCAACTGACTTGTGTGAAAAAAGATGTAAACTCTTGATTGCACGTTATCGCTTGATCTTTAGTTAATTATACATATATAAATCTATATATATTTATGTAAAAGAAACCACTTGCTACGAGCAAAGCCGGGTAAAACCCGCAAAGTACGTGCATACATTGTTTCCAATATCTGTCTGTCTTTGATATAAAGACAAATGTACCTTGCAATCTTTGGAAAATTATGGGTAAAGAAAGATGTAAATGAAAATGTTATATGGATTATTAAGGAAAGAATGAGAATCCGTAGTAATTCTGAGTGTTGTCATAGTATACCTTAATGGGGAAATCTGCTATATAGAGTTCTGCAGCCGGTAAGATTCAGATATTCTAAGCTCATTAAAGGAAGGTTGGGTTATATTTAATATTCGCATAAAGCTTTATCATATTGTAAATGATTATTGTTTGACTAATTTGGCACAATAGAATTTAGTATCGTCTATCTATCTATATACAGATTATTTTCTATCCATATATTAATATAGTTATTTCAATTTATAACTACATTCATATCTAGCTGTAGATACATATATGTATATATACTATTACATCTAAGCATATTCAATCTTCAAGCTTACAATATTTCTGCTGTCAGCTATGACATATCAAAGCTACACATAGTAATTATTTTTCTTGTGCACATGCTCATTTATGATATCCCCATTTCTTCTTGTTCTTTTTGTTACAGTCATCGCCATCAATGACCCCAACTAACTCGTAAATGGTAAGTGCAAAATTGTCTGTAAAATGCATTTTAAACTCACAATCAGAATTAGGGGCATGGCAATCCACCTCCTTCACCCATTACAGAGAACATTGCATAAAACACCCTCCAATGCACCCTCAACCTAGCCCTCGCCCTCATCGTCGACCTTAACATCTACGATGGTCACGCCCCACACGCCTAACACGCCCCGTGTTGCGGCGCCAACTAAATTGCTTTGCAGCTCAGCATCAGGCAGCAGCTTTACCTATAAACCAAAATGAATGACTGAACGGAACGTACCGAGGTGGCAAGGGAACAGGGCTAGGGTGGGGTAGGAGTAGGGGAAGGGTAGCTGGTGTGAGGTTGCAATATAAACGGCTGTGAATGCAAATAGATGCGATGCGAGTATATGCAAAAATCTCATGCTGACTGCAACCTCGTCATCATCAGCAGCAGCGCCAGCCGCAAAATGCAATCGCATCGGGTGGTCATAATATGCTTGTTGGGTGGAGTTTTGCGTTCTGGCGGAATGGATGGAGGGGGGGAGGGAGGGTGGCAGTATTAAGGGGTTGACGTGTGGTCTTATCGCGAGGCGGTCCACAACGGGCACAGACAGGGGCCAGTTGTTGGTGTTAAAAAATGCTGGCCACAGGCAATGTCATCATCTCCATGCCCATCGTCATCATCCTCATCGTGTGAAGCTCTAAATGCAACATTTTGTTCTTTTTTTCTTTTCCCCCATTAACTTTGACCACGCGTAAAAGCGCTCCAGCTCCCACTCCTCCAACGTGGCGCCCCTCTATGCTATTTGCCTGAGTTTTTATTAGAATTTCCTAGTGGGTTTGGCAGCAGCACAGCAGCAGCAGTAGCAGGGGCACGACTTTCGTGCTTATGCGATGAATCAATCCGTAGCGACAGCGCCGCATTTAGCGGTTGCAGGCAATGCGACTTCTATCGCATTACGCCATCTGCCGGCAGTTAAATGAGTTAAACAGAGACCCCATTACGGTTAGCATACAGAGCGATGATCCGTTCGAGCGTCCGCCCCATCTACAGGTTACAGCTTAACAGATTAATCCGACCCACTTGTGTGGGCAAACAGCGTAAATATTTGCAGCCCAATTGCCCAGTGGCTCCTCTGTAACATGAACTACTCAGTTGCATGTTAACGTTTTCATGGCGGAGCGGGTTAACAACTTTAATTTTTGATTCAAAGATCAGCAAATAGGTGTTTTTGGCATAATATATACGATTTGGATAACTTGATTTGAACTAAGAGCTAGGTGAAACTAGGATTAATTCAAAACTTGAAACAAGGCAACTACAAACCCTCGCGTTTAACTGCGTATTCTTATGCCCTTGGCTGAAAAACCGATATTGATATTTGATTTTGTAAGCATAACTTGAAAACTTTGATGCAACGAAATTCCAATTTCTTTGCCTACCTTGTTGAGGAAACTGCATAGCACAAAGCGAACGTAAAGACAAGAATTTGGTTTGAAACATAAACCCAAACCCAACCCAGCCGTATAAATTGGACTTGCAGCCCTGATTAAGACATTTGCTACACATTAAGCTAAGCACAAATTATAATCAAAAGCTTCTAAAGCTTTAAGCAACTTCATTAAAGCAGCTTTTTAAAAACTGTATCCTAATGCTTTGGATTAATCCTGCAACTTTTTCGCGCACTTCGCTTAGTTTCAAGTTAAAAGCTGTTGTTAAAACTCTTAGCGTCCATTCCTTTTATTTTTTAAAATATATATTGGACTTAACAACTTTTATTTAAAAAGTATGTATACGTATTAGATTAAGTATACGTAACAGAGGACTCGCAATTAACAAGTGTTTAAGCAATTGGCCTTTATTACAGCCCCTTCCACTCCTGCCCCAACGCCAATTGCTGCCAACACGTGTTTATGTTGTTTATATACTTTTGCTATTGTTGTTGTTTTTAGCCATGTTTGCACAACAGACACCAGGGCCATAAATATTGTACGTCGCCTTTAATATGCAGTAAGCTGTTGTATTTATTTGCACAGCTCAACAAATTCCAATGATTTTTTCATAACTGATTTGGCAGCGCGGCTCAGCGTCCCGCATGCTGGCACAAGCTCTCCACTCCCCGCCCCCTACGCACACCCTGTGCAAGTTAACCACTTGGCATGTATTTTAAATCATGACATAAACACTTTCGCACATCCCAAGCTGCAATACAACCAATTCAGCCAGCACTCGACAGCTATTTTGTTTATTTATTCGTTTGTTTGTTGCTGTTGCCAATGACTTTAATGATTTTTGTGGTCAGGGTTATGCAATTGCAGCAAGGGACACGAATTAAGCTCATCAGCAGCAGAATGCGCTACAAATATTTATATATGTATATATGTATGTGTGTGTATCTATAGCCATATATTTGCTATCTGATAATTTGATATGCGTTAGTATGTGTGGCTAGCAATTAGCACAGCGGACCGATGGGCAAATGGAGCTAGTGCACACGAAAAAATAAACACTAAGAATGTTGCAGTCGGGTGCAACCGACTGCATAATACTCGTTTACAGGCCAAGAATAGTTTGAAAATATGCTATATGCTCATTTTTTTGAAGATATATCAAATGATCAAATATATCGACTTATCGACTGATCAACCTTTTGGAGGGACTTGCGGTATGCCAGCCCCTCATATCCTACCTATCTTAGGTAAATATTAATGAGTAGATATTCCAAGCTTTTAGTCTCCAACTTCGATAACGTCTAAGAAATGAAGTTTATACAATCTGCAAAGTCAATATACTCTCTTCACTTTGTCATTGAGTAAAAGTGTTATTCTCTTTGGGTTTCCAAAGATAAGCTCCTCTTGCAGACATATAAAAGATTCGATCGAACTAATTTTTGACAGACTGCTACTATGGAAGCTATACGAAATATACGACACCGAAAAGAAAATTATTTTCTTGCCTTTTTGAAATTCGCTATTTATTTCAATTTTTAAATTTTAAAAATAAGTTAAGCGTCTATTAGCAGCATATATAAATTAATAAGAGTTACAAAATAAATTGTCTCGATGTTACCGACTTCGATTAATACATTCTCGAAAGCAAATAGACGTAGTTTGACACATTTGCAATAGAAGAGTCTTAAGCTGAGATAAGAGACAAACGGACAGATGCTATATCGACTCGCCCGCATATACAGACCCAAAATGGATATGCTTGTTACACACGGCATAAAAAAAGAATCTATAATACGCTCTGTTAGGGTATAAAATTTATCTAATCGGCTTTACAGAACGCTTGTTCGTTTTAGCCAAGGCACGCCTATCTGTCAGCGCAAATATTGTCACAAGCTGCCAGTGAAGACGACGCGGTTGAGGAAGAGGAGGAGGAAGAGAACGAGGACATCGTGCTGTCGTCCAAGTTATCAGATTTCAGTAGAGAACGGTAGAAAGATTTCGCTGTAAACCGAACTGTGCAATTATTTGCACAACTAATAATTCACTTTAGTGTTTCATTTAGTGCAAATATTGATAGTGCCGCGCTCAAATGCAGCAAAACTTCGTCTAATATGCGGAGAGCGGGAGAGACAGAGGGCGAGGCATGTCATAATGTCTGTCTCCTAACTGGGGCAGGTCCAACTAAATAATCAGATGCACAGCATTAGCTTGTTTTATTTAATATTTCTTCGCTTCTTCTCACCTTCTGCATTTTCCAATAGTCATGAGTCAACATGAGTTGGCCAAATTTAGCGTTTCATAAAAACGAAAATTTTGTAAAACTTTAAATTCCTCCCAGATGATGTTAAATACCCAAGTCAAACAATGCACAATTTTTTGTTGTTTCACTGCGCAGTTCTCAGATCTAAGATTTAAGATCTTGGATCTTGGCATGCAAGTCATGCGGCCGGCCTTTGGGGGAGGCCTCGCCGAGCATTTTAGATGTATTTTATTGGGGTCTCCACACATGCTCTGCGCGCGCTTGTGTGTGTAGGTGTGTGTGTGTGTGTGTGTGTGTGTGTGAAATGTCAACATCATGTGGCAAGAAGAACCCCATAAGCCGCTTACTGCTGTTAGCAGTTGCCCATTTTTGGTTAACTGTGACGATGCGACGGCCTTGAGAATCTCTTTCGGTTTGTTTATTGCTTCGTCTAAGCGTTCAATTGAACTGACAAAGCGCAAAAAAAAACAAACAAAAAAAAAAAAACAGCACGAACAGAGCTTTCATTGATAGCAACACTTCCCTTGATGATTGCCGACGATATTTCAAGCTTGACGCTGAGAACTGAATTATGCGCCACTTGTTAACCATCAGTCAACTTCAAATGCGCTGCTTTAAGTTAAACACAGCAGCAAATTTGCTGGCTATGCATTTAAATTAAGCTTTGATTCAATTTTAAATGTCGTCAGTTTTGGCCTTACTTTAGAACCGAACAGTTTAATATTTATATATTTCAAGCTTCGATTAAATGTTGACCAATTGTCTTTCTGAGAATTTAACTATACGAACAAAAGCATCATTTAATTGGAATATACTTATTCAAATTGCAGTATTAATGCAGAGATTTATTTGGTTGCTTTCAATAAATCTGGGCTTCTATGGAAGACAATGAAGAATGAAGAATTGAAAGAAAAATGCAAGCATTCAATTTATACTATTAAGAGGCAAATTGATTATAAGGCTGTGTATTTCCATCAACCTTCGCTTGAATTTATATTTCAATTCAATTTAAATTTCAGTTTTCAGTTAGGTTTCAATAATTTTCAATGAGAACTTTACTTTTTGAATATATTGATGACTTCAGTGGAATCGAGGTTTTAACATTCAATTTCAGTTTTCGCTTGAATTTCAAATTAATTCAGTTTTCAGTCAAATATCAAACATTTTCGATGGGAACTTTACCATTTAAATAACTTCATGACTTAAGCTGAATGAAGCTTGCAAAGCTATGCATTTCAACCAAGCTTTTTGTTCAATTTTAATTATTATGTTTAATACAATTTTATAATTTAATTTTATTACGC